GTCCAAGACCAGTTTCAACGCTGACCGCATTGCACGCCATATAAAGTCTCCAAAACTGATTTTGTGATTCTTACCGATGGCTTAAGTGCTTGGACTGGTATTCTGTTTTATCTAGGAGGCCGCTCAGATAGTGCGAGACAGCTGGTGAATTTGCTTTCTGAGCATCAGCGTCACCCAACCCGGAGAACATGACCTAGTTTCCTGAAAGATGGGGAAATATTTTTAAAAGGATACAGACATACTGATACAGATATAGCCATGACAGAGTAGATCATCGTCATCAAAGACAGCAAAATCAGTGTTGGCACTGATGTTTCACTGCCGTACAACCATACGGTTCGTCTAATTACATATATGTAATGTTGAAAGCCCTAGGGTGAAAAGAACAGAAAAAGAGTGAGCGAGCGAGGGGGCCTAGTGCTGGCCTATGTTAAACATTCTGAGATGCCTACACCTCCGACCGCTCAATCAGACAATCTGGAAAGGAACTGACAGCACGAACGCCACTGACATCGGTTAGCCGCCATTTCTTGCAACGTCTCCAGCCAAACACGGGCAGGGTCACGGGGACCCCATGTTGGAAGGCGTACAACACCAACGACATCCAAACTGTTCGTGGTCTCTTTCACGCCTGTACTGTCCACCTCACAGTAGACCGAAGGAGCAGAATAGTATAATTAACATCCAGCATCACGTGAAAAAAAATTCGTACTCTTTTCATTGGAAGTAAGTGACAGAGAAAAAATATGTATGGCTAACGATGGAGAAATTTTGAGGTTCTGAGCGACGCAGTTCATGGGGATATTACTTTTCCATTGTGAGTGGATTTGACGACAAGCACCAGAAGTAGGAGGGACGAAGTGCTGCAATAATCAGGACCAACTGCTCCAGCTGCGATTCATAAGGCAAACCCCCAACCGGCAAATTTGTCTTCCATTTCATCTGACTACTTGCAGGAGTTGCCGGTGGACGCGTCACCAGAGCAGCTGGATGGAAAGGGAGTACGGAGTTAACGTTTTTGTACTCAGGCATCGCCAGGAAGATAGACATAGTTAATCTATTCGAGAAAAGAATGGCTATCCTATTTAAAGAAAATGGGTACAAACCACCATGACTCGTTGGGGCGGATGCCTGTGAATATTTATAATCGATCAAGAGATACCGTCCTCGGGTGTTCGAAGAGCCTACTTTCCCTGTCAGCGGAACAGTATCACCAGAAAACAAGACCATATGAAGCGGAGGACTGTACAGACGGGATTTCATAGTAGGGTTACGGTTTGAGTATCCTAGGGGGACGTTTTGCCTTTCTGATCTCAAGGTGGAACCGATCTGCGCGCAAACGTCTACAAAAGCCTAAAAAACGGTCGCTATTTTCTGTACATTGAGTTGGATCCGTGGATGACACAATGACTTGGCAATTTCAATGCCGTTAATGCGCTTGGTGTGTGTGATGGGGAGTGGTTCACATAGGGTTAGGACCGCAACCTTCGTGTGGTTGATGTGAATAGAACACGAAGAGCCATTAGATAGTACACTGCGTGTGGTCCTCTGTGGGGTCTTTTCAGGTTTGTAATAGAGAGGAATGTAAATCGAATGAAATATGAACCGTCCTATCTGCTTAGGCAGTTCTTGTCACAATCCCCTGATAACACCCGACTCACCAAACTGGAACACCTGATCTTCAACACGGTTCCCGGCTCCAGGCACAAAAAGCCACCATCGATTGTGATGAATTGAATTTGAACTTGGGATGGCTTTCGCTTGGAAACCACCACTTTTAGCCGGGGTCGTCTTTTTTGCTGCTTGGGTAAACGAGACGGAGATGTTGGTTGTTGATCCGCTTACCGAGCGTGGCAATTGACATGCAAATGTACGCAATGAATATTATCAATTTGCTTGTAGATGCCAGCTTTCCTTCGCAGGGATATGCACGACGGCGTAGGTTGTTCGTTTCACCGCAGAGGTTAAGCGTCAACGGCTTTTGGGACCGAACAGCGGTTGTCCCTCTTGAGTCATCAGTCCTGACGTCAGGTGATTCGTTATCAAACGGTTGTGCTCAGGACTGTCACTCGGAACGTAGCTCTCATGTTGATCCTTCAAGAATCCAGAAGCTTTCTACCTTTCCTTGCACTGCTTAAGAAACGCACTTCAGATGGCCAACTGCCACAAGAAGCCAATTGTTATGTCCTGTCCCCTTGGGTGTTGTTTTCGATAAGGACCAAATATATGAACTTTTTTTATGAAACCACCACGCTAACTTTAATTTCCGTGATGAGCACTGTCTTCTAGGTTGGTGTACATTTTCTGCATTTTGTTACGTGTTTTTATCGTAGAGTGCTGGTACCATATCCGAATCAGAGTACGCGAATACTCTGTTCATAGGTGGAAACCACTGGATTTATATTGTGTGGAATAGCCTGTGGTTTTGATTATGCTAAGTGGTAGGCAGCCCACGCTGTCATCCGCGAGAAGAACCACTACTCGATTTATTCAGGCTACGTTGGTTCACCCCCCGAGAATCTGACTTGGGATGCTGGCATTTGATACTACGAATAAGCACCAAACCACTTGCCAGTGATGACTAGTTCGACCCCTTGACACATTCCCAATGTATAATAATTTCAACTGCAATGTTAGCTTGACCCACCACTTCTAGAAAACGTGATACCTGATCAATCACCGCCAGTTATAGCCCTTTACACTGTCTGCTTCACCTCCACGCGAGCCGAAACCTCTGGATTTGGTTACCCTGCACACTCGCAACTCTTCGTCCGCTTATCCATTGTTTCCGTTCAGCAGCCGAACTTCGCTCTCACACCTATCCTTCCTTATCTCTTTTGAATTTCTATCCTTCTGATTTCTAGCCTGGCAATTTTTCCTTTTTATCTCCTCAAATACGTATACCTTCCGTATTTTGACGGGATGGCATGAGTCGATTTTAAGCAGTTAAACTTGAAAAGATGGTCCAGGCTGTCACACGATATGGACTTCAATGTCCTCGATGTCTAGTGCAGTTTGGCCATCAGTCCCTTAGTTTGACTCTTTATACAGCTTTTTGACCCCATTTGTAAGTCGTTAGTGTCAGTCCAGTATGCAGCTTCGAACAAAGCAGCAAGATGTTCGTTAAAGTCTGGCTCACACAGCTGAACAACGTGACATAGTGGATGAGGGCTCGTAGTTGACCCTTACGTGGAGTGAGTGATCTTGAAGAGACAGAGCATTCACTTTACCGTTGGATTATCGAAGAAATTCCACTAGGGTTCTATTCCCTACAATAGGTGAGCCGCTAGCAGCACTGTTTCGACGTCTTACATGGAGCCAGGGTCACTGTTTCAGCGTTGCCTGGTTTGGAGTCAGGATTTTTATTAGTCTTGTTAGCAGTCTTTTTGACATCGATGCCTGTTCTTCGGTAAAGTTCGGCCATTGTTTCGGCTAACTTGAAGGAAATGACTGACTGACGTCCTAGCTGTTGATTCGTGCTGTTTTTTTGAGACAGATACGGTTGAATGTTTCCCTCCCTGGGGTCCACAAACAACCCTTTTGGTGTAGTCCCTGTTAGTTGTGCTAAAATGAGTATCAGTGGTTGAGAAGTCTAATAAAGAGGTTTAAGTTCCAGTTTTGGTTACCAGTGATGGGACGAAGTTTACGAGTATGGTGGGTCGTCTTGGTACTCGTTTGTTCGGTGTAGCGGTTCGTTGTGATGCGCTTGTCATTATTTGGCCCACTTCATCCGTCAGCTTAGTTGATTGTTCTTTGTAGCACGACGTTAGTGCGGATGTACACCTGAGAAGCAGGTTCTTCATGCCAATCTGCATGGCGTTTAGATTGATACGGGTGTAACCGACTGCATTATGTGTCTTCAAATACAGTGCAAAAAACCGAAGACCGAAAATGAACCGGTGTGATCATTTGGGTGTGTGTGGAGGGATGGTAACCACCGACGCTGTCCAATGGACTGATCTATGAAGCACTTCTCTGAGACTTGATACTTGTTCATTTCCCGCCGTTCAACCTTTGGGAAAGCGGGACCCTAGATTTCCTTCTTTCTGAAAAATTTCGACTAACGCGCCTTCGAGTTCAGTTCATTAGCACGCTCCCCTGGCTGATGTTTGTGCCAGTCTAGCCACGCCTATCGAGTTTCTGTTTACGACAAAATATTTCCCCTATTTCATCCCTCCTGGGTTTGTCTTTCGAACACTACTCCTCCGGTTCGGTTGTTCTTATAACCGACTCTTCAAAAGCAGAATCACGTTTGCATCAACGCCCATTCTGGGTTTTTCATTTGCACCTTCGTTTACAGGCGGTTATCCTCTTCTGTATGATTCACTTGTGCTATTATGGGCTAGACATTCTGGGCTGGTCCATACAAGGCCGAGAAATGATAACAGCATTAGTGACAGATTATATACATAGTGTTACTCTGTTTCAACCCAAAGGAAACGAACGCGTCGATACTGAAATCGTGTCACGTGATTCCCTCACAGCAAGGCACGTGTTATAGTGTAATCGATCGATAGTCATCTCTTAATCGGGTTAGCACTACGTTAGAGACTGATGCTAATCTAACTGCGAAGCGGGGGAGCTGTTGGAGAACTGTAGGTCTACCAAAGGTGATGACACTGTCGTCGAAAGCATTTTGAATAATCGTACATACTATTATGTTTCACTAATTCTAATTCACCAAACAATCTAAACACTCCTCTCGACCCTTGTCTGTGGTTTGTATTACTGTGGGAATTAGGCGTTTTTGTGATCTTCTGAGTCTTGCTCAATTAGGTGTATTTCACTCGATGGCTCAGTTGGATGTGTGGATGAATTTCGAATCCCCCCAGTTATTCATCTAACCCCTGAAAAAGCTTATCCAAATCAAACTGCTTCTCCAGATCCTCTGAACTACTTACCCAAGTTTCATTCGTCCTTACTACCGCACTTCCGTCCGCAGATAATAACGAAACAGGTAAACGGGACACTTGTGCATCAGCAAGTTGGTCCAGACAATTTAATGATATCAAACAGTTAGCTCGCTGACCAAGCGCTGGTTTGTGTGGAGCGCCCTTATTTGCTTGATCGGACCGCTTCTACCAACGTCACCGACCAGTACTGTGCCTCACCCTGAAGTTTCCAAACTATAAAGATAACACTGGTGAATGATGCTACTATTACCCGTCAAATTTTTCACATCTCGCTGCTCAGTCGTACATGATTCTCCATTTAGTCATCTAATTGACTGGACTAGAAAGCTTCTATGGGGTATGTCGCGCATTGCCATGTAATGTACTTGACCTAAACAGTGTAAATTTCGAATCATGATTGGATCATCTTTCGTGATTGAGTTTATTTTCTGAAATCCTCTGAAATTGTTCCAACCATATCCGTAATCCATCGGAGAGACTGGTCCGACCGTTTCGAAAACCAGCACTAGTCGTTTGTCAAACATTTTGCCGTAGTTTACAAGTGAACACACTGAATATCCGATATTTAAACGTCCACTCTGCCCGTTACTCACCGCAGGATTGTTATGNAGCACTAGTCGTTTGTCAAACATTTTGCCGTAGTTTACAAGTAAACACACTGAATATCCGATATTTAAACGTCCACTCTGCCCGTCACTCACCGCAGGATTGTTATGCGGAGGGAAAGAGGAATATGGTTGTTCCCAAAGCGGGTGAATCTATGTTGGATGCTCCCCGATACTTCTACTCAGGTTATGTACTTGAGTGTAAGGTTCATGGGACGATCTATCAAAGCCGAAATCTGTGGTCTTCCAATGAAGAGCCGGAGAGGACAGCACGAGTTCACTGGGAAGTTGTCCATGTATGGTCCGGTGAGAAGACCGTACTTCAGGTAGGTCTGTTTCGGTTCGCTTTTTGCAGGAATGTTTTTTCAGTTCATTCCAATCTTTTCCTCATTTATTCTTTTTTTTTTTTGGGGGGGGGACACCTGGTTATTAATTACGGGCTCGCTTACCGTCTACTCGACGGTTCCTGTAGTGACACTCCGCCCCATCCCGACGAGTTTCTCCGAGTTGGAGCGATGGCTGCTCGCGTTCAGCTAACCGTGTTTCGAAACACGATGGGATGACTGTGGACTTCAGTCTGTGAGACGGAAGTGAAGGACAAAGGAGTACCGTGTATCAGTCTAACTTTGCTTCTTAATCCCGCCTAATTAATCTGCACTGAATATGCCTGTTCAGCATAGACTGATTCCTCTGGAATGTTTTATCCTCTTTGCTATTCCGGCCACTCTCGAGTGCGCTACGCACCGGTGACCGAAAGCTGACTGCAAGACCCTATTTCAGAAGGGTTTGGTAAACAATCGGCAGTTTGGAGGACTAACTGTCCTCGTGGTGGCCCTGGAGCATCTAGGCCCAAACCTTGTTTCCTAGCCTGTTGTACCACACAACATGCCTCCTTGGTTGTCTTAGCGATTATGGGTACAGTCAATCGCACATCATCAGTGAGAGTGTGCCTCCGGTTTTGTTGGGTAGCAAATATTTAGGCGTCTGTCGTTTGCCTACATTTTTTCAGGGTATCCATACCTTCAGCCAGGTGCTCGTTGATGGGGTGAATTCAGTGACGAAGCACATCACCGGTTTGGCCGCACCACCAGCTCGTTTCATTGGTGATTATCTGGCGGACAGTATGGCTCCTGACTACTGGGTACCGAACGCGAATATCCGTAACTGTGCTGTTTGTAACTTCAAATTCCCCGATCCGCTGGTTGACGGTGCCGACTTTGATTTAGGGACCCGACCACAACAGCAGCAACAAAAACAGCAAGGCAAAGTAGAGTCTGATGGTGGACGATCGAGACCCAAATCCAAGTCACATCGTAGTTCCATTGCTGCTCCCTCTTCGCGTGCGCCTCCTGTGCCGGACGATAACACAGCATCACACACATCCCCGGAGCATCACGCCTCCTCCGTCCCCGATCTCAGCTCTTTGGATGTTGCTAAACACCACTGTCGTATGTGCGGTCGTGGAGTCTGCGGAGCCTGTTCCAGCAAACGTCTCCGCGTTCCAGGTTTTGGTCTTGATCCAGTTCGAGTGTGTGATGAGTAAGTTTCACTACTGTAGGTCGTGTTTTTCCCCGATTCATCGTTCATTCCTCGTGGCCAGTCTGATTTATCTATACCCTTGTCTGTCTAATGTGCTGTTTTCCCTTAGCATACATGAGGTGTGTATATGCATTTACGTTCGTCGTTACCACAACGCGGCTGTGAAGCCTTCAGCTTGTTAACCTACGGCGTCACTTACTGATTTCTCATGTTTTACGTCTCACCCGGTGGTTACTTTCTCCACACCCGACTGAGAGCATTTTATTTAGAACATGAGGCCACTGGATCTTAGTATTGTCTGCTATCTTAAGCCCGAATCGCCTACCGTCAACCAGACCACTATTCTGCACAGCACACTCGATAAGACAGCTTGTTTTAGCTGCTTAGGATCAGCAATCCCTTGTATGTTGGTGTTTTACAACGCTTGCCTCGCACGCATAATTTCCACTTTCTGACGCAAGACTCTTCTCCGCTTGTCGGTCTCGTTATTTTACAAGCTCTTGAATTTCATCAATGGCTGTCAATGAGCCTATGGGAAAGCTGGGTTTTTACTCATTATGGCAATGTATGCGTACTTGCCTAGGGACAGACAGAACCCTCGTTTGGCTTCATTGGTCATCTCTCTCTCTCTCCCTCATTCGTGGCATCGTTTTCAGGACAGCAAAGACAGGTTTTGGTCACATGATCTGTCGACGCTGTAACAATACGCAAGACCTACTAGGAAGTATTGATCCGACGGTGATTGGTTTGAGTTCGGTTGTCGTTGTGGTCGATCTAGTCGGGTGTAGATCCTCAATGCCGTAAATTATTCACGGAACTGAGTTTGCAGACAACTTGAGGGGAAGACTATTGGCCGTTCAGTACCACGTTTTTCCACCTCGTGTGGGTCAACACTTCCAGTGTGTCGCGCATTCTAATGGGATGGAGGAGTCGTCTCAGCAGCATGTGGGATCGGTTCATCATCATCATCATTGTCAGCTGTAAGAAACCGTGGAATCGGTTAACATTGCATCACTTGACTACCTAATTGAAGAATGTTTGGGTCAAGCTTAATCACCGTGTTGGCCAACCACCCGTAGTTTGCCGGACGTTCAGAATCCTATCAGGAAGTTTCCAAGTTCGATTATCCCTAGAGTTACTCACTAGTGATCATGATGCTGAAACAGGTGATTCTCAGCCATTCGTCGACCTCAATGGCAGAACGAAATCGGGAACCAGAGGTAAAAGACCAAGAAGTTCCGATCGATTCCCCCGTTACCTTGGTAGAAACAATCAGAAAACGTGACTGGTGTTATCTTAACGTTTATTTTTATGCATTCAGCCTACAGACATTTTGAATCAACACTGCGCGGCTGGTTGTCCTGGTGTCATGTTTCGCTGAATGATAGTATTTTCGTGGTGTATGGTAGCGTAAATCTGAGTACTTTCTGTGTTCAATAATTCTCCGAGGACGCTTGACGCCTTTCGTCCAAAGATTCGTTTCGAAATTTTCGGCTTTGGAGCTAAGTATTCCTGTGTCTCACAAGGTCGTTCTCTGTTAACCTTGAACCCATGGGCACATGGTTTGCCAGCATCTCAATGGGGATGCTACCCGCCTTACTGACCTTGATGCCCTCCACTCAGATGTTAGGTATCGATCTCATGGTCTTATAAATCCTCTGCTTCGCTATGATGACCAATTTTGTGATAAAACGCCGATTGCCACACTTTTCAGACTGCACCTTACCGGCACTTTGTTTTTTTCATTTGAGAACCATTTCAATCCATTTTTTATCTCCATCATTTACTTGTGTCTCACGAGTGAGAGTCAAGTAGTAATTTAACTTTCCTAAACGTCTCAACAGCGTGCTTCCTCACACTGTTTAACACTAAACAGGTCAGATTGGTTGGTATATCCACTTCGGCAGTTTTACCCAAGTGATCACAGCGCAAGAAACATCTGCGATCTCAGTGAGCCAGAAAATGAAGCTTAATTCCCTCAGCCAACCCTCCTGGGGATTAGCTTACCAGCAGTTTTACCCAAGTGATCACAGCGCAAGAGACATCTGCGATCTCAGTGAGCCAGAAAATTAAGCTTAATTCCCTCAGCCAACCCTCTTGGGGATTAGCTTACCAAGACTATTCATCCCAAGTCCCTTTTCATCACTCAAAAGGAGAACGTTGCGTACAATCTCTATCCATAGAAGACCACTTATTTACATGAATATAACAAAATTCCACCCCACACTTGGCCTGATGTGGAAGCACGGGCTGATTCAGTCTACTTTACTTCCTAAACTTCCATCAACATCGACAACATGATATCAGTGTTCAACACCAATACTTCGCTGCCGTACAGCGATGATTTATTGGAAAGCCTTATTGTGAAGAAAAGAATAAAGATGTACGGGGGAGGGACCTAGTACTAGCCTACTACAATCATTCCGAGACGCGTACACCTCCAAATACTCATTCAGGCAATCTAGATAGAAACTGACAACAAGAACGCCAGTGTCATCGGTTGGTATCCTGGAAGGCGAGAATCATCGACAGCGCCCAAACGTCTCTTGATTTCTTTCATATTTCTCTGCCAAGTGAAGGGTTGATCACCTCTCTGCTTCGGACACTCTGAATTGGGCATGGAAAACAGTAATCTCTTCGACAAACGACGGTTAGGCATACGCAACACATGTCCCAACCAACGCAGCTTCCGGTGCTGGACACATTCTCCAGTGGAAGTTCTGTTAACAGCCAGGACCGGACCGTGTCACTTGCCGGTTCACCTATGGTTGCAGTGTCACTCAAATCAGCAGAGTAGACGAATGTCTTTCTCAAACGGTCACTGAACACATTGTAAAGCACTTGATGTGTGAAATGAGATTACGAACATCCAGTCACCCGGAACGTGGTATCAGTATTTGCGTGCACTTTCTGACCACATGTGACTCACTCCACCCCAGTCAGTTCTCTCACATCCGTGTGTCCTGAACACTATTAACATTAAGCAAACTAACATCACTCAGGCCGAGAATGAGTTCCCTTTCGGAAACTATGTTGACGCAACGCATTCGTGGCGCGGGAATCAGACCACCTATCCTCCTCATGAATGTTGTGATTCTCTGGATTTTCACGTGTATCTTTGCGTTGACGATTGAGGACAGTAAAGTAAATATTAGCGCCGCACCAGTTGTGTCATCTTTTCACGAGGAACAAGCGGGTGAAATTGCAGCACTCACAATTCATATGTCGATTTGGTCGTTTCTGGAAAATCCGCATATTGCACACTTCGTCTGGACGGAGTCTTCACTTAATCGAGCACCTCATTTCGAGGTTCGGAATTCACGACTTCAAAATTACGTGGCTGCATACCACACCTGTGTGGATCGCTTGTGTAGTCTAAATTGTGAACTTGAGCCAACCACTGAGTAGCATTCATCCGAAATCTGAGCTCTAAGTAACCTGCTATGCCGTATCAACCAGATTAGTCCCATTTGAGACGAAACGTGTTTTCAGGAATAATCACATCTGTTGTCACATCGGACAAATGACTCAGCTACCTTCTGTCAGATGGAACCAAGTTGATTGCTTTCCGATGATTCTGAGACACCCATATGACACCGTTGCTTTTTTCATCCTGTTGGATTGCTTTTTCCTATCTAATGTTTCACTTTTGCTGAGCCACGTAAAACCTGTGCAGGTTTACGAGGGTTGCCTATAGGTGGACCAACCAGCTCGTGTGGTTTTACGGGGAGAGAGTGTGGTGCGCCATTTACTTGGACCTACGTATTATTGAACTCATGAAGCGAACTCGTCGATCGGTTACTTGTCATTTAGCTGGTTTAGACTGTTCAGGAACTATGATCTGCAGAAAATATCTGCCGTAGTCCGGACCGAAATACCCGCCTCACTGCGATGTAAACTAATTTTTTTAAGTTACCACTGGAGTGTACTTAAGGAGATAATGTTTCTGACCCTACTCCCCAATCCATCTGTCACTAGAGTAAAATACTGCTTTCAACTGTTATTTTCGGCCCTGTCATAGCTTAAAGCTGCTATTCGCATCCATGAAGTTTGACTCATTTAGAAACGGGAGTTGACGGAAGTGTTTATGTGTATATGCAGAGATTTTTCCGTTCGAAACGGTCTAACTTCGATTAAGTTCAAGTTCAACTCACGTGATCACCTGATCGCCCATTCTTCGGTTGCGAGATCAAGGCAGCATCATAACGTTGTGAACAGTTTGTTGCTACTCATGCGCACAGCTGTTCGTTTGCTTCGTTATGCGTACTCTTTCCTCCACAGCGTTTCGTTTATTTCTGTATCGATATTCGGTTCACCATGCATTTGGTGATGAATCGAGCAATTTGTAAAATGCAGAAGGTGCTGCAGATGTCTGAGTAAAGCAGAGGCTCCGACTACTTCGATCTGTATATCTTACGTAGTCGACTTCGCTTAGTATCAATCGAAGTGATTAGCTGTGGTCATATGTGCTGCTACCTTTTTTCGCACCACCAAACTTCTTTCCGCCTCTTTGCCAAACAACGTCGTTCCTTCTGTAGTTCTCTGACATTGCACCCCTCGCTTAGTTTCTGATGTAAGAACTGGCTGCAGGATTGTCCCTGTCGATTATTAGTGAGACAGGCTAGTGCGTACCTCGATGAAATCATTAATAAGTCGTGCAGCGAGGGTATATTCGTGTATGTTTACTGGTGGGTCATTTCGCTGTGGTGATTCCATGATCTTGGGTACAGCTGAACACAATTTTTGGGCTTTTTTCGCTGATAAACGCCGCGTTTTTCAAGTCAAAACAAATGATCCATTTTACCCATCCTCTTTGTAATCGTGCCGGATTCGTCCTACGTTTGGTTCACCCGGTAACCATGTTTCTGCCGAATACTGGAAAGCTCCGATAAACAGCGAAAGTTTCACGGGTAACATTTCCACTCTGTTTATGTGGATTCGATGACCTAGTTTGAAGAAAACAGGCATAATTGAGGTTGCACATGAAAACGACTGGTCATCAATCCACTCATATAAATACCATGATGAACGATCTGCCGAACTCTCCAAAGATTGTTGCGAATCCTTGATACCCAAGTGAACCGAATACAAAGCATATGTCAATCGGTTTGAGTGCCGCAGTTGTAATTTCTATCTTCATAGTAGGTGTCAGATGAACTTCGAAAGTCACTGCATCACCAGCCTGCTAGTGCCCAAAGTTCTTTCTGACATTATCTTGCACAGACTAGTCTATTGCCGGGAATGTCAAATCCATGGGGACCATCGTAGGTGATGCTGTTTTGGCCACAGCCCTAGCTGACAGCAGATTGTAGCTACCGTTGACCAGCAGTCTTGGCTTTTTGTGGCCTAAAGGCTGCCTTCGCTTCTGCTAATTATCAGACGGCATTTTCTGTTAGTTTAAGGTGCCCTGTTCAAATAATTACTCCTCCTAGAAGCATCTTAGACACGTGGTCACGTGTGAGTTCGTGGATCACTACATCCAGTAATGTCAGACAGGGCTTCTGCTATTCTCCGTGTGCAACTTCGTTTCTGATGATGAATCTCCCGCACTTGTCTCCAGCACCTCGGGGGTCGATGTGTGCGTGAGACGTTCATTGACAGACACTGAGGACCCTGAGGATATTGCTTGTCTTCGATCAGATTCGTCAGAAGTGCGAATCACTTCGAATGATCTGATTCATTCACTCGCTTAGTGTTTGCTTCAAAACCCCATTGCCGTTAACTGCTACCCTATAACGTAGGATTCAACTCAAACCTCGTGCTTCCAACTATCAATGTCCTGGTTGATTGGCGAAAGACAAAGTCGCTTCCTAAATCATGATATCCATGGTTTTATGTGCCAACCAGCTCACACATAGGGCGGTCATGGCATCAACTTGTCTTTCAAGGCTGCGGTTCACCATATTGCCATACAATCTATAATGTTCAACAACAACATTATTCGCCGAAGATGCAAAAACATATTCGTTGTCCAACCATCGATGTCCACGAACTATTTCCCGAGTCCTTTGGGAACGTTAGATCAGCAGTATGTCAGTTTTCGAGGAAATTGTTTCACCTGCGATAAAGGAGTTAGTCGTAATCCATTAGTTAAGCTTGTGGTGAAGTGTTCAGTCCCTCAGAGAGCCGCTTACATCACATGAGCATTTCCGCCAAAACGTGTAGAGTGGAACTGACCATGGTTTGGTAACGAAGTATGGAAGTTTGCTTCAGTGAACTCAATCGCTTTGACAACTGTTGTCTTCCTAAGTGAGGAATTCGAGAAGTGAATTGCTGAAGACGCTGGTGATCACGATCCCATGGTGCAGTCAGTGGTGCTTAAACTATCGTATTCAACTCACAGGTTCTCCGGTTTCCCCACACTGAGTAAAGTTGGGCGACTCGAGTTCAGTGGGCTCGTTCTATCATTGGCTGCCGTTCCTGGTCCTCCTTCCGTTATCCAAGTTCCCGGTGGACTAAATTATAGCAGCCTGACCAACTTGCCCTGGCACATGGTTCATAGTTGATATGCTGAACTTGAGTGGCATCTGAAATCCCGGGTTGTGTCCGTTCGTGAACTGGACTTGGGTCTTTGAGGTTCGTTCGCTTACTTCACCAAACATGTTCCTAATTAGACCTAATTAGACCTCTAAAAGATGTGAAACACTCAACAGTCTAGTGTTTCTCGGATTACGAAGGATGTCTATGGGGATTGCATATCCTGAAGCAATGTTTCGCCGGTTTTCTGGGCGACATGCCTGTCAAAGACTGTCATCTATGCGCGCTAACAATCCTTGACTGCCTTCCCTAGCCAACAGTTCGAACGTTCCCTTATTGTATGTTTATACCTGCTAGATGCAATTTCCCACTACTTGCACTGCATTGGTTAACTTTTTTTCAACTCTCCACCTGGCTTTCAAGGCGAACTTCTTCTCAGTGGCATTGAAATAAAAATTCTAGTTTGGCCTCAGTTGATGGTGTCATCGTTGACAGCAACATCGGCGAAAGACATTGGTGCTTCACTGCCATAAGTTGATGGTGTGGTTGGAAGTATATCTCGAAGGAACTGCATCCACGGCGGTCGCGGTCGCACCAGCTTATGTTTCACATTCCTTGTTCTGTTCGCTGAGCTAGGTAATTTGGTCGCAAACGTTTCGTCACCAACAAAGCTGACGTCACCAGTGCGCAATGAGTTGGCTGTGCGTCGGTGTGCAGGTGTTGAACAATGCTGTGCTTGTGCCTATGTCTCGTCGACGCAAGGTATAGACTCTGATTTTGATTGGTCATTTCAATGCAAGGCGTCCAGACGATCCTTGAGTGTCTGTTCATAACCTTTGGCCTGTCAGTCCAACGACTACCATTATTGTCACGTGGTCCGTCTGTCCTCTTTGGGTGATCCTTTGCACGTGGCGGTACGTAGGTTGGATCGATTTATTTACATCAACTGATTTGAGTCTGTGGTGGAGTACCATGCCTCCTCTAGAAATTCCCTTGCGTGTCGTGTTTCCACATGACAAAACTCACGCATTTTCTAAATTGGATTTGTCCTTTATCTTCGTGTATTGAAACCAGGGATAGTGGATCATATTGCTATGTGACCTTTCATCCTTGTAGATCTCCTTAGCTGTTGAACAAAGCGTTTGTAACAATCCGTGTGATTGATTCGGTAAACAACATTGTTTCTGCGATTCTGGTCTATCTTCTCTTTCGATCTTGAAATCATCTGTAGCTGTTGGTTTTCGTTGTAGCCGTGCACTGTGTTCGAGTGCATTTCCGATGCACAGTAGGTCTGTCCGTTTGCTTGTCTGATTCTGCTCTTGCTGCCGTTGAAGAATCCTTTTTTCCATCCTTCTGATGAAACTTCGTGGGTAGCCGTTGTTGCAAGATGCTCGGTGTAGATAATTTACCGCTCTTCTCAATTCGGCTGTACTACAGTGTCTCTTCTCAGGAGAGCTGAGTTTGGATGCAACCCTTTTCGTGGTAATTTAGCATATATTCCGTTCATTTCTTCCGACAGACGCAGGCTTAAAGGTATCCATTGGTGGTCCTACTGACCAGTACGTCGATCAGTGGGAGCCAGTGGTTCTCTTTGAGTTCACCGGTGTAGTTCATGTGCGTGCTGCACTGTGGACGGTCTCACAATGACGGAGTTATCATCTACATGGAGCATCCATAGTTTAAGGTTGATTGTTCGTTCTGTGATGTGCTCTAGTTTCTGCATCACTGCTTCTGTAATGAGGCCGGATATGGGTGATCCCTGTGAAGTTCTCTTTAAATACTGGTAGATTTTTCCATCGAATTCGAGGCATGTATGCATGCAAACTTCCAGGAGTTTACATGTACTTTTCAGTTTTTTTATTGTACCTGCTGCGTCTGGACTGTTCTGCAGTAATTCTATTACGTTTTTTTGGCACGGTCATAGTTGATTGACGTGAATAGGGCAATGACATCAAACAAGAGAATAATTCCATCGTCATCTGTTTTGACATTCTTCAGTTTCTTCAGCAACTGTGCACCATTACTTATGTAGGAAGCTGTAGCATCTGAATAAAGTAATAGAACGCGCAATTAGAGTTTGGCTGGGTTGTAATTTGGAGGTAGTAGAACATTTGACCGGAGCGGAGTCCCTTCCTCCGGCGATGTTGCTGTCATCCGTTTTCGTTTTCCGTCGTTCTTGGCTGGTTGTCTGGTGTGTTGTTTATGGTTTTTTCTGAGTGTTTTATTGATGCGGCTGGCCAATGTTGAAGTAAGATCCTGTTCGACCGGTCAACACCGAACCCCTAGTGACATTGAAGTTCTTTTTAAATGGACAAGCTTTAGAACTGTTAACTAGACGATGACATTGTCCCGACAGCTATCAAAAGTCAACCGCGTTCCTCTACAAGCCTTCTAATTGCTCGACTTTTATCGTTTTTTCCCAAGCTAGACTGTTTTCAGTGTCCGTACAATTTCTCGTCCTGTAGCTATCGTTTTTTATGCAACTGAACTAGCTGCATCCCGTCTACACGAAACTATCGACTTAGTAATTGAAAAAGGATTTGGTCCCAAATTGGTTTCAAACATACTGTCTTCATACAGGTAACGTGTAGCAGCTTACAGATGATATCGGAAGCTCTGAAAAACTTTCAATTTTTTATCCGGTCTCAGGTGATCATAAATCCTCGGATTTTGTCCGTAGGACTGGATTGATTTATCGCATTAGTCGGTTTGTGCTGCGAACGTTCTTTGCGGGAAACAAAGTGGTAGATGCTTACTCGGCAGACTGAGTGGGGCGAGACGGCCCAAGTGGTTAGAGCGCGAATTTACTGACCGGAAGGTCAATGGTTCGAATCTGACCTCCGCCTCTTGACTTCCCCTGTCTAGGCTTGGGCAACCTGGCAGTATCCCAGTCCTCGTGCTTCCTTCGGTGGCATACACCGGAAGGGTACTACAGCTGAACGCCTAACCATATATCGAGTCAAAAGTTGACTTGTTCTTTTTCATACTCCCCATTTACATCAGCTGTTTCGGTCGACACAATGGCGGACCCAAAACAACCTCGAAATCCGTAGCCAAGGATATCCAAGTCGAAAGTAACACTGGGTATACCGGTCGTAGGGCCTTGGAACTCTGCTCGGCGGCCGTACGTTCAATTACTCCCGTTGTGAATTTTGTTACAGGTGAGCCCTTGTTACTGTGTTTTTTATGCTACTTTGTCTTTTATCTGGATTGATACTCCCAAAAAATAGCGGTTTAATCGAAGACCACAGTTGATATGTGGGCCAAGACGGGCCACACTGGTATGTGTCGTCTTCGAGGATAATGGATTATAGATATCCCGTCAGTGCTCAAGCAGTGCTTTGTTTTAACTCTGCCTTTCATTTCTAGCAGCATTTTTTGTCATCTTAATTGTTATGTGTGAACAGTGCTTTAAGCGACCAGAGTCGTTTTGGCTGTAGCCATTTCAATTGAAGCAGCTTCTCTAATCAACCTCGCGATCGGGCATCGACTGAAATGTATACTTTGTTTTCAAGTGATACATGTTTACCGTTCCTACCGGCTCGCAACTCACTACATTCGGTTGGGCATTCTCACGAATCAGTCCTAGTAGGGAAGAAGCGCGTGTTTGTCAGATCGCCATTCAACAGTAATTCAGTTCCGGAGATCATAGCATGATGATCAATACGCGTCGAAGCTGAGTTGAGGTTTCTACTATTGTCTCTTCGCTTGGAGAAACAAGTATGTTGAATCTGTGCTAGTCGAATGCGCTTCTTCCACTTTTTACCCTCTCAGGCACCCCGCGATTGTCGCATCCAGTGTTCTGTGAATGTCACACCACTCTCTAACGGGAACTTTCATTCTCCTATTTTGATTCGTCCAGCTGGACCATAGTAGCTTATAGCCTAATATCAATGGCCACTGTCATTCCGATTTGTCGTTAACTCGACATCCCGATTGGGCTTTTTATTGGGTTGGTTTGTCTGAAGGAGACAGGTTAGACAATGCGAAAAATTGCATATTGAGGCGGTTTGGAGATGAAGTCGGCAATGGTAATAGGAGTCTTCAAGCAGTAAGGTCCCTCCTGGCGATCAGCACGTGTATATGTATACGGAGACGGACATTAATAATTCGAGGAGGTAAGTTATTATCAACTCGATTTACGGGGCAGTAGGTCTCTTCTCTGGACCGAAATTCCATTACTTTCTTCAGGTTGCAAGAATAACGTGGTTGAACGCACATGGATGCTGAGTAGTTTAACAGCCTGGGTCTGCTTAGAGTTGTTGGGCAATCTGTATTAAGTAGGTCCGCCTCCACACAACGTACAATGCCTGGAAGAACACCACCGTCCGCTTTCGCCTCACTTGCAAAAGCGGGTCAATGCGTGTTACTCGAAAATCCATAGACTGGTCTATCCGTCATGTGTACTGAACATCTAATCATTATCACTGCATGTTTTCGTAAGCACTATGTTCTGGTTACGGTCGCAGTTCATCCAGCTGCTCAGACTACATCCCGGGCCTCCTCCAGTAGCGTGTTGAATGGCTTAGTAGTACAATATGATCAGTCAAAAATCACCAACAGCTCCCTCCCCAACAATTTCACCCTCGTTTAGGCGCGGTACCTGAATTCTGGTCCTTGCGTTGAGCCTGGACCAGATCTATGTATGCACTGCCCATACTGAATTTGTGTCGGCTGAAGGTCCAAAATGAATGTGCAATGCAATGATTGTTTTTGTTTTGTTTGTTAGCCTCTATTTATAACCAGTAGTCTCTGGATTTGTTTTCGAGTGGCAATCTGATGTGCGTACCCGTTCTGTAGGAAAGTAGGTCAATGATCAGCGATCGGTTACCTGACTGTCGTTTAATGACTGGACACTCAGGAAGGAGTTTTAGACCCAACCCCTCGTTTGAAAAATGTACGGCAAAGCTTATTGGCGGGCTATATTTCCGCGCACCATTCGAAGCTTACTCCCTCAGTCCATAGAATGAGTATACTCACTGCCAATAGAATGTTTCCTTTTGGCATAGATCCGACAATTCACCAATCGCCCCACTGGTCTTTAGCATAACACTGCGGTTTCCAGCTGTTTGGTTGTCAGTTGAATTATCCTTCTGGAAATGACCTAATAATCATCAGGCTTTCCTTCATGCTAGTAATGAAGTTCAGGTATCGAATAGCCTTCTTCACTCACCACAGGACTACTGAACATGTTCAGATGCTTTATTTTTCTCCATACGTACACGTTCCGCTAAACCACTCTTGGCCGCCTGCCGCTGCTAAATTCGTTCGGCTCTCGGTGTGTGATGGCTTCATACTGACCATATTTCACTGCCATCAGCTTAGTCCTCATTTTCTTTTCTCTTCTGCTGTTCAGGTACTGCCAAAGATTTTGCCCGTCCAGCTTACTGGACCCCGGATAATTTGTGTAAGTATTGTGCTGTATGTGACCAACCGTTCAATGCGTCGCGTCTCATTCACCACTGTCGTGCGTGTGGTCGTGGTGTGTGCGAGCCGTGCTCTGGGCACAGGATGCCCGTCCCCTGGCGTGGACTGGACCTGCCACATCGTGTCTGCAACGAATGCTTCAAACCAGCAGTGCAGTAACACCACACATCCTCACAATTCCCGTGCATTCCTCTGAAACACCTGAACAGCGTAACTATTGCTGTTAGCGAATCCATTGTTCTGGTTGGTTTGATTTGGGACTTTTTTCGTCCCCCGCCCCCCCCCCATTCTTCATTTCTAGAACTCGTTCGTAATACGAATTGATTTTTGTATTTCCACCAACCCAAAAGTAAGGCGGAGAGTGGAGTGTGAGTGATTTTTTCTCAGCTGTGATTTCCCCAAGCCTGATGAAACAGCAGAGCGTGTGTACCAGCGCCGTTTTCTGTGTCATTGCCCGCCCTCGTCGTACAACTCAACGTTTTTCACGGCACATTGTTCGGAACTCACGTCACCAATGTGTTTAGAATCCGAACAGACACATTTTGGAACTCAGTGCATCATTTCTCATCACCTTTGCATACCCATCGGTCGAGATTTCGGCTGAGCTTTATTTTCTATCATCTTTGCCTTGTCATTCATCCCAACGAACTCGTATAGTCATTTTCATTGACTTACCCCATTGCCGGGTACGCTCTTTTATTAGTAATGTGTTTTTCATTACTCTCATTGTTGGGTTAAATCATCTGGACTATTTTTCTGTTTGTTTCCGGGCTTATTTCTTGATACGGACACGAGTATACATACCTACTTACGTACTTATAGATGAAACATCGTGTAATTTTCTTCCTTTTATCAAGTGCAGATATGTTTCTGTCCTAACTTTGATGATGTAATATCATTCGCAAAAAGAATTTGGCGTCTTCCTGCTGGGAACTGGTCGGATTCAGCTGCGCAATGAGTCTGGTGTGTATGCGCCACTCAAAATTGACAGTGTCTGGCCTGTAAGCAGTTCGCCATATGGTCTATCCGATTTGTTTATTGTGGGCAGCTTTAAGCATACTTCCTGCCTAATGGTGTTAAATTCACTGTCTGAAAAATGATTCCCCAACCTGTTCAAGGCTTAATAATGGTGACATCCAGGACGCCACGCGAAACACTTTTCTGATTATAGACAGACCCTGACTTGTCTTGAAATCGATGGTTTCGTTATTCTTGCACAAAGCAAGGCACTGATTTTTTAGGTTTTGTTCGTATTTGGCTTGCTCTCTGTCCGAGAGTATCCAAGTTGATCCGGTGTACACAGTATTTATCTGCTGAAGTTGCGAAGGTCTGAGAGCATACTGTACATCGATAATCATTCCTTTGAGAGGTCTTATCTTTCCTATCCACACAGATTGTTCGGAACATCAGTGATCTTACTGTAGGATTGTTACAGTTGATTTCTTCTGATTGATGGGTTAATGCGAAACTGGTGAGATGGGTAGCCTATTCGAAAAGGATAAAATCGATCAGTGAAATGTCACTGTTATTGACAATTCACGGTGTATAACTGCGTTGATAGTCACATTGTTTTCTTTTGTCTCTGTCCTTAAAATGTACGTCGAAGGTAATCGATATGGGTTGGGAAAATGCCTTTGCCGGTACTATCACACCTAGACTTTGTTATTTCACTGGCCTGCTTGGGAGGTTCGCTGCCTTTGGGAAAATATTGATTTCTTTATCCAACAAGCTGGAAAACATTATTCATGACGTAATGCTTTCATTCAGAATAGGAACAAAACCGGTTAATAGGCGTTTTTGGCGAGCGCTGCTCAGTTCATACCGTTACAAAGGGCAAGGACTGCAACATACGGGACAATGAATCGGGGAGAATGAATACAAATCGGAGGTTACCTCTCAGTCTGCACCTAGTTCATATGTATATAAATACTTTGGTTGTCGGCGTAAGCTACGGTATTGCTCACCATCGGATGAACTTATGGTTGATGTGGAATAAAACGGGTGATGTAAGGTGTACCATGCAAAGGAGTCGTTGTTGCCGGTGTCATGCCGATAACCAGTAATCTTAGAGTGCTGCGCCACATAGTTCGAGTGGCAGATGTTCTATAGACAGTATGGAATCTTTGTTAAGTGCTTCCGACTTGCCTGGTTACCGCCTTTCTAATTCCAGAAGCCCATTAGGTTGACTATTCTCCCTTATTCTTTGATCGAGTTGCCTCGTTGTGTGCTTCATATATCCTGTTGCATAGCAGCAAGACAGAGTGTACCAACACTCTAGCCGCATATGAGACTCATTTTCAAGGATAAAGGGAAGTCTGACTGCCGATTAACGAGATATGAACTATTGCGGCAGAAAGAACTTTCGTCCGATTGATCTAAAGCTTCGTATCCGGCTGATGTATCGATTTTTAACTTACGGCTTACGTAAAATATTTTTTCGACTGCGATAATGTCACCTATCTTCCTCTTCTGACCATCTGTCCGGGTAAAATTACTGGGAAACTCGTTGTCTCTCTAGACGATGTATACAGCTGACTGCAGCTGTTCTAGAGTAGCTTCTCCTTATCCTGCTGCTGGGACTGTCGGATTGCCTTCCTGTTTTCTGATAATGAGGCTGCTAAAGTTAGCGTTCTGTCCAGACCCCTTAAACTGCCGACACAATACAGCTGGATTAAACAAGTGGTCGTAGTAGATCACTATCAGTATACGTAGGAACATGCATCTCAGGTTAGCATGTGTTGTGGATGTGATTAATTTATTCATCAGTTCTCCTAATTGTGGTCAGATTTCACCCAATGTTTACAAGCTTCTGTCCACTGCAACTTAAACGGCCGCCAAGCGAATCTGGAGAGCAATGCACAGGCGCGTTTTATGCGTTCTGTGTGAGAACGGTGATGCACTACTTTCGCTGTGATCGACGATTTATTTTACAGACCATGCAGTGATGTGCTAACTTTCAGGTCGGTGGTGCACGGGCGCGTTGCACGGTTTCCAGCTGCTATCGGATGTTTAACTGCATTCGTTTTGGAAAACCACTGACATCCATCGCTACTCGCACCCCATGCAGCGTATAGAGTGCGCGCGCTACCGCCTCCTCAGCGGAAGTTGGAACAGCCAAAGCACAAATCAAGTAAGATTGTAGTTAGTATGTTGTGATGAACATGCCTGATACTCTATTCGTTTCTCTATTCATTATTCTCTTGTTTTAATATTCCATATGCTGTACATATTC